TATAATACATTTTTTAATAGATGTAAATACAATCAAATTTAAATACACTTTACATTGGCAAAATTAAAAACCACATGCTTCCATCTCTGTAATGCTGTGGTTTGGGTTAACCAGGAAAGTAAGATGGGACAGTTATGAAAGATCTGCTAAAATCTGGTGATATAACATGCATTGTTTTGGTGCTTTGTGACAGAAGGTCCAGTTCACCAAATCTGCTTGGCAACAGGCTCCGGTCCTCACACGTGTAGAAGAAAAAGATTTTTTTTATTTTGAGTTTTCTGAATTCTGAACTGACATTTTGATTCTTTATTTCCACCTCATGATAGATTTGTGTTTTGCACCATTGTAACTATAGTAGAAGTGGTGGCCCTCACAAAGAAGTCACAGAGCGTGGGCCACACAAAGGCATAAGACATGTGTATGTGTGTGTGAGAGAGATTGTTTTATTAATATTGTGTTACATTCATGATTCATGCCAATAATGTAATTGCCTGGCAAAGACACTGGGGCTGAGGGAGACCATTTTTAATGACTAACAGTTTTTTTTTTTTTTATGAAATGCTATTTCCTGAGGCTTAAAGCAATATTTGTTGTGCTAAAGCAGACTGGCAACCTGTCCAGGGTGCCCCCCTCCCTTCCCCATTGACCCTATTCAGGATAAGCAGTATAAGTAATGGATGAATAAATGAATGGTGCTAAAGCTTAATTAAATATACTGAGAAGGGGAAACCAAGACAGACAATGGAGTTAACCCAAACTTAATTTAATGCAGAGGTAGAGGAAAGGATGAAGAAAAGGTGGATGACAGGTGAAGAGAGAAAGGAAATGGTATGGTGTTGAGATAGAGACAGGGAGGCTGTGTGGCCCAGAGCGAGGTATATCTATTGACTTAAAGGTGCTGTGTGGGTGTATGGATGTTCTGACAGATAGTGTTGCCTTGTTATTTAGTGTTTTCAGTGTTACATGGTTTGTGGTGGCATTTTTGCCAGACACTTCTGGAACAATACCTCTCCATCAGGAAGATAGAGACCCCCATTTTTAATCTATTTTATTGTAAATTAATTTTACATACCACATGTGTGCATGCTTGTGTCAAATAAGTTATATAACCAAAGAGGGAAAGAAGGCAGAAAGGGAGCTCCTGTGTTTGCCTATTGAAAAAGTGTCTGAAATCTCTCAGAGAGCAGGATCCATCCATCTAATTCACAGCGCACACACACATGCATGCATATAGCTGGACGGCTATATTTGTTGCTATGCCACCTGACTTGTGATGGATTCTTGAGTGAGTGTACCCATGGTATGAGATGGGAAAAGAAGGAAAGATTATGGGCTGAAAGAGACAGAGAAACAGGGAGGAGTAAAGCAGATAGAAAATGAAAGGAAGAGAAAGAGAGATGGGAAGAAAGGGAAGTGAGAAAAAGAACAAAGAGAAGAAAGGGAAGAAGAAAAAAGAAAAGAAAGGGAAAAGGAAGCAAAGAAGTCAAATCGGATAGCAAATAACAGATAGGAGAAGAAAAATGCCAGGCAAGTAACCTGGAGGTCTCTTCCTCTTCATTCTCTTCTCACTGTTTTGTTTCTACAGACCACTTGCTGTAATAATACATATTAATACATACAGTACAGTAATGTGGCATTTCACTGGAGAACTTGGCACATGGCCACAGCATGCTCTGTGCTCTCGTCTATTGTATGTGTTCAAGCATGCTGGGCATGCTAACATTAGCAGCTGCCAAAACAGACAGTATTCATCCTTTCATACATAGTTAGTGGTACTATAGATGGGAATTAAAAGACCAGAGTTGAGGAGGAATAGAACACTATTATTTCTTCTCTTCTTTTCAGCTTTTATCTTTTTTTTCCCTGATCAGCTTTTTGTCCTCTATTGACTCACCAGGTCTGGCCAAATGTGCAGTATCACTGGGTGAGGGCAGGCCGATGCCCCTAGTGGGGTGGGTGTGTGGGGGCATGACACAGAGCTGTGCAGCCTTCCTCTGTCAGAGGGGCGGCGCTATGGGGCGTCAAACCGCCATGCCTGCAGCCTCCACTAGGGTGGCGATTGAGAAAACCTAAACACCTTTGAAGAAAGAGAAAAGACAATGTCAGTGAGATAGACAGAGATAGAGAGTGAGAGATAGACAGAGAGAGAGAGATGATAGAGAGAGAGAGAGAAATACATGAAATAAATCAATTATCACCTAATTTGTTATTCCACAGGGCTACGCAAACTAATGTACATGTACACACATGCATACTTACACCAGTATATGCCAGTGGCAGCAGAACGCAGAATGCATAATACACATGTTTATGAGAAGACTTCCTTGCATACATTAAAAGGTAGGTAGGTAGGTAAGTAGGTACTTTATTGAACCCTCAGTGGGAACCTACCTAAAAGTGTATTCCCATGTCTGTGGATGTACCAGAGCTTTTTTGTGTGCTTTTCTGTGTGTGTGTATGTACACCTGCACAAGCATTACAACCAGCCCCCTGGTATTTCATAAGCATAAATATGTGTGTGTGTGTTTGGCAGTTTACACAATCAGTTTGTCTTTCCCACAGACAAACCCCCTACTGCTACTGTCTGGCACAGAGACTGACACAGGGAGAGACGAAGCAAGAATGAGACAGGTAGAGAGAAAGAGAGAGAGAGAAGGATAAAGGTATAAACTGGGAAATACAGAGACAGGTAAGAAGGGAATACATCAAGTTTGTGAAATTCTGAGGTTTTAGGGATTACTTTATCAGGCCGATTCCATACATTGGTCAGCTCCGAGGATATTGACATGGTTTGCCTTAGCAAATGTGTTATTAATCAACTTTCCTAATAAAGGAAATCTGCAGTTCTTTAGTGCTCAAACCTGCAGGACACCTCTACACCCCTGATCAACTCATTGACATTGAAATGTTTTAGAAACCTGTCCTGCAAATGAAGTAAGTCTTGTTAATATTGTGTACTGTAAATAATAAAATTATTTGTATAGTTATAATATTTTTTTCTGTTGTTTGCAGCGTTTTTTTCTGCAGTAATGGGTTGGTTAGTAAATGGTTGTTGCCTGTGATTGGTTGTAATCATTTGCTGTATCAGACAGACTATTGGAGACATAAAACCACTTTTCTCTGAAAAGAGATGCAAAATAATGTCAAATTCCAGTTACAGAAGTCTAATAAAACATATCCACATGCACTGAAAAAGATGATTCCTTATGTTGAAAGCAGGTTATATAAGTGAGAAGTACCATGCTTGATACATGCTGTTGACTTGCACCCCTTGGGCCAATCAGTATAATTTTGAAAAAGCTGGAGAGCTGCTGTGAGGCGCATCTTTTCCCAGAGTATCATCAAACCCTAATCAGCAATGTGCGAAATAACGCATTAATCAGATTAGGCTGTTGTTTGATGGTTAGCTGTTTGTGGGGAAAACCTAGAGACACGAGCAGGCTTTTCTCTGCACGTGTCATTTTTACATCTAGTGGAATGGAAATGAATGTGCATTTGTGCTTTTTTTTTTACTCATTTGTTGGTGCATGTGCACTAATTATATAAAGTGACATCTTAAAAAAGTTAAGAGGAAAACATGATAAATGGATGTAGACGAATATAGACAGTCTGCTGTTGCTTCCAAAAATAACACCCATCAATCTGCTCAGCATGTTTTAAGCAACTGCTTGTATATCAGTTAGTGGAAGGGAGAGGAGAGGGGAAGGAGAAGGAAGTGGGGGCGTGAAATAAGAGAGGGTGACAAAGAGGAAAGGAGGTGTAGAAACAGACAGCGGTGAAAGGAAATCAAAATATGGGCAAGGCAGTAAGTTCCAGGAGGGAAAAGGAGGTAAAAATAAGTGCAATGGGTAAACAGGGAGGGCATAAAAATTCTCCTCCATGGCCTCCCAACTGTTTTGGTGCGTGCTGAGTGTGTAATTGTATTATTGCTATTAGTACATCCCAGACACTGAGCCAAATACGAGACACTCGAATCTCTCCTCTCTGTCCTCTTGTTGCCAACATCTGTTCATTTGTGTTTCTTTATGACCTTCATTTTTTTTTATATCCAACATTTATTTCTCTCCCTTCCCATCTCTGCCTCTCTCCTTGTCAGTGGAACAGAGGCATGTACCAAGGGTAGTCGGCAAATGCTTTTCCCGCATGTGATTAAAGTCACATTAGCCAGGCTCTAGTGGGAAATCTAATTTGTTTTTTGTAAATGAGCGCATGAGCTTCGTTTGAAAAATTCAGAATCACAGATGAGAAATGATAGGAACGCAAGGAATTGGAGAAGATTCGCCTGTCTGCTTCAAAATTTAAGCTGTCCAGTCTGACTCCTACTTTCTTTGCTGTTGATGTTTTTCTTTTTCAGTTTACTGTTTACTGTATAATGTGAATTTATTTTAAGACTGTGGAGGTGATTTTTGTTTAAAACATGCAGTGACTATACCATAATTTAAACAGAAGTGAATTCAACAGACAGTTCCAGTCTGACTCCTACTTTCTTTGCATTCCCATACTATTTATCATTTTGCTCATTTTATAGTACATGCTGTACTATAAAACATATAACATAGCATTCATCACACACTGAGATGAATGCTTTTTTGTTGTAGCTGTTCATCAAATTAAATATTTCTGTGGCAGCTTCAAGCTGTGTGAAATCAATCTTTAATTCCTGTTTCAGTGTTGGGACTGTAAGTGTTGCCATGGTTCGCATGTTGGCCATTTGTCAAATGATTCATGTATTTGTGTATGTTTGCTTTGGAGAGGAAAACAGTTTGGCCAGAAAGGAGAGTTACTTAATGAGGAAAAAGGAAATCACTTGGTTGTTTTAAATGTGTGCATTGATACAAAATGATGAACACATCATACTGCATATGCAGTTTAGAGCCAAATGTTTCTTCTGATTCACATCTCATAGTTGATTGATGGTTTCTCCTTGTTTTCTAAAGCATTTTGGAAACAAATGTGAGTGGATGAAAAGGAGAAAGGCAGAAATAACATTTAAACTATGAAAAATGTAGCATTTTCGATGTAACTCTGCAAAATTTAGTCATGCGCACAATCATGCTGGAAGTGTCCCTTAAATGACGTACTGGAGATGTAGAAGAGGGTCACCTCTGCAGCCATATGTTGCTGTTTACCCGTCACTTCCCATCATGACAAATAGGTGACATCCTTGGACAGACCCATGTAGGCATATATGCACACACATGAAAATACTTATGTATCAAAGTAATCCTACATGGATTTATGTAACTTCCTCCCCTCCTCTGCTCCTCATGTCTTTCTTCTTTTCTTTTCCATCCTATTTTTTATTCTGTTTATTTCACTAACCACTTCCTGTCCACACCTAAGATGGATTTAGACTCTGCAGGGTGATGCAAAAGCTTCTTGCAGAACTCCATCATGCAGTTCCACAGAAATGTAACCACACACCCGGAGGTTGATATGGCAAGCAGCGACCACTGACTGTGGTGTATATGGCTTGTTAATTGCGTTAACTACAGACAAGTATTTTGTGATCCAGCTAGCGGAACCACCTCTTATTCAAGCTTTCCTGTCATTTCTCTGTATAGGAGTAAATAAAAATTATGAAGAGAATTACTTTCAATATATAATGAATGCACAACATCTGAATACTGTATAGCCATTTATTGTTGTGCTGATATGACAAGCAATAGGTTTATCAGTAAATCAGCACCTTTTCACATTGCAGCTTAAATCATGCTGCACTCCACACAGTAGAGTGTGTGTGTGTGTGTGTGTACACATGTGGGTTTGTCTTTATATACTTGTGCGAACCAACCCCTGACAGAACACCTTTCTTCTGTGGACATTTCTTCTTGTGTGGACCTTTTGGGTGGTCCACACAAGGAAAATGCTGTGATAGGCTCCTTTCATCCTAAAGAATGATCTAAGTTTCAGAAGATGTCCACATACAGAGAGTAAAGTCAG